TGTCAGAGTTGAAGCGGACTGAACAGTTTGTGCGCGACATCGGACTGACTGTCTAGCTGCTGTCATCGAGAACGAGGAAGAAGAAGAACTCTATGGAACATTACAGCAACTGCAGTAAACCCTGCACTTATCACTACATGGCATTGGACAGAAGGGCGAGAGCCCAGCTGTTGCTGGATCGATAACAACAACAATAACAACTATAACGACATGTTTTTCTGGTCCCGACGATGTCGTTATAGAGAGGCTGCACTGTATAATAATACCCCAACATGTATGGAAAAAGTAGAAGATCAAATTTGAATGGCAAATTTGCTTTATTGTCATTACTTCAGATTGAAACATACATGAAGACAGCAAATGAATGGCATGGTCATACTGTAGAACATATATATATATAGATAGATATATATATATACACACAAAACCTAAAATTTGCATACCGTACTGTTTTAGCTAGCTCACTCTACTAAAGCTGTCATAACATTTGCTCCTTGTCACTTTCTCTCTTTCCAGTGCACATGTATGCTATCATCTAACACCAAAACCTTCCAAACACGTGAAAGCATGCTGTCCATGAATCAATAACTACAACTCAGACACAGTTCAATTCATTCAAGTTCCCTCATTAAATACATTTTAAAAACATTCACTCCTATTCATTTTGTTTCGCTCATTTCAAAACTTTCTGCTTCACACATCACAAAAGAGCAAACTATCTAACCATAAACAAAACAATCTAACGGGGAAAAAAAAGAACCCCCCCCCCCAAAATCCCGAAATTAAAATGACATAACGGATGGACTGCCATTTTGTACTAAACAGATGAAAAATTACATAACAGATGGACTGCCATTCTGTACTAAACATGAAAAAATGACACAACGGACAGACAGGGGGGAAAAGTCGGACCTACAGTACTAGCAGCAACTTTCAAACCATCCAATATCTCTCAACAAAGCAAATTTAACTCTTTCCAACCCATGAGGATTTAAAAAAAAAAAAAAAAGAAAAGTTCAGCACTAGAATATACGGACTGTGTGCTTTCATTGACATAACTCTTACAAAACATTCATGAGTAAAGAAGACCAACAGACATACAATATATATACAAAATCTCTCTCTCCCACACACACACACACATTTATTCACTGGTATACTCATAACATGGTTGTAAAGTCAAAAGAATACACAAAATATCCACGAGTAAAGACACAGCATTTTCAAGAAGACCAACACAAACATACAATATACACAATCTATCTCTCACACACACATTTATTCACTGGTATACTCATAACATGGTTGTAAAGTCAATAGAATACACAAAACATAATTCATGTATATGAGGAAGACTAAGACCATAGAAATGTGGGATTTTCTTGGTGCTCTAGAAATGTTTTCCAAACGACAACTGTTCACTGACTACTGCAGGACTCACATCCAAGCCAGAAAAGAAACTCATTCTCACAAAACTACAACGATCATCTCCAGTTTCATTATTCTCATATAATATTTTAATCCAGTGTGAAATGGAGTCTTGCCACAACCAATACTGTATATTTGTTCATATCTATTCCTTTACAGTTTCTTTATCACTCAGACACACACATCAGCAGAGCACAATAATATCAACAGGATGAATGACTTACATATTTGTTTGCAAAGTCAAAAAAAGACACCTGTAAAAAAAAATCGTAACCCTTTTTCACATTTTGCAGTGACACCAACACAAGTCTTCTCTATTAGCCAAATAAAACAAAAAGCAAAAAAAATTAATCGGCAATTAAACATTTTAATGACAAGGGAAAAGCAAAGATCAAAACATAACACAGCTGTAAGCTGACAAAACGCCTTTTTTTGTCGTCAGCGTAACCACTGAAAAATAGAGTCGTTCTGAAAGTTGAATTCTGATTTATTTAAATAACTAGTAATAGTTTCAATTTGATTTTTTCACACAAGAATGGTAACTGATCCGGCTTTTGATGTAGCAAATAAAAAACTTGGTGCCAAAATGAAAAAAAAAAGGCATTTTGTCAGCTTACGGCAGAACAGTAGGCGATGCCCAAACCAAATCAAGCACATTCCACAGTCATAAGGTACATTTTTTTCAAAAACGAATAAAGAGAAGAGTACACATAAAATGCCCTTAGCAGCTCACACAAAACAGAGGCACCTACTAAAAAGGCTTTAAAAGAGCACCTCTGGGGGGGGGGGGGAATGGAAACATACAATGTTCGATTAGACACGGATTACATGAGCACGGAAGTCCCAAAATACACGTATAGCACGTACAATTTGCAATTTCCTGACCGAATCTCTTTTTACTCTACGATTTACATTTCGCTACCTCAGAATTACAAGTTGAGAAATATGACGTCAAAGATTTTGAGTTTCACATCCTGCCAAGCTTTTTCAAATGCAATTCTTTGAATATCTTGATAATGACACTGAAAAATCTCACAATTTTTATAGAACAGATAGACCATTTGGTTTCTGACCTCATGGTCCTAGTAACTCAATACAGCCAAAAATATCCGGTAGAACTTTCAATTCTGAGGTAGTGATATGTCAATCCCTGTTGTATTTGAGTTACCGTGCCTGACCGCATATATAACCAAGTCTGGGCATGAAGCACGTCTGTACTGAGCCCTCTCTGATCCTCTAAAAAATTGATGAAATTATTACACAACTGAAGAAAACATGTAGTTCCAACAGTGGAAAGGGCCTGATCATCTAAGAATTCAAGATCTCACAACCAAAAGCATGGAAATGGCTCCGTTCTAGGAAAAGGACATTACTGTTGGAGCCAAAAACTTTACCAAATAGATCAATTAATTTTGTTTTTAAAAAAAAAAGGAGCCAAAAACCAAAAGCTCATCAAAACATTTCCAACCCTGATACCCCCCTATATAAACTCCTTTAACCCACAAAAGGGGGTGTAAGGATGAAAAAGAAAGACTCCACACATAACGATTTAAATACAACTTTTAAAACAGAGAAAAGAATATCTATCAAAAGCAAGCACTCACTCTAAATTCAAGCCACAGGACATGGCTTACAAAACATCAGTCAATTAAAAACCTCCACATCCGACCTTCAACCCAGAACCTCAATGCTCCGAAGTAACAAACCATGTTCTGGCCTGTGCCTCTTAAACACGTACAAACAACATGTTGCTCAAGAATGTTCCGCCGTTACACACGAACCAAAACTCACGTTATTCAAAAATTGACAATCCTTAAACACGTACAAAACAAAAAATGACGCAAGAATTAACAGTCTTTACACAAACACCAAAAATATTATTCAAGAATTGACAGTCTTTACACAAACACCAAAAATATTATTCAAGAATTGACAGTCTTTACACAAACACCAAAAATATTATTCAAGAATTGACACAAAGTCCCTAAACTCGTACCAAACAAAAAGTTATTCAATAATTGACAGTCCTTACACACATACCAAGTCCTTACACACATACCGAACATGTTATTCAAGAATTGACAGTCCTTATACACATACCAAGTCCTTACACACATACCGAACATGTTATTCAAGAATTGACAGTCCTTATACACATACCAAGTCCTTACACACATACCGAACATGTTATTCAAGAATTGACAGTCCTTATACACATACCAAGTCCTTACACACATACCGAACATGTTATTCAATAATTGACAGTCCTTATACACATACCAAGTCCTTACACACATACCGAACATGTTATTCAAGAATTGACAGTCCTTATACACATACCAAGTCCTTACACACATACCGAACATGTTATTCAAGAATTGACAGTCCTTATACACATACCAAACATGTTATTCAAGAATTGACAGTCCTTATACACATACCAAGTCCTTACACACATACCGAACATGTTATTCAAGAATTGACAGTCCTTATACACATACCAAGTCCTTACACACATACCGAACATGTTATTCAAGAATTGACAGTCCTTATACACATACCAAGTCCTTACACACATACCGAACATGTTATTCAAGAATTGATAGTCCTTACACACACACACACACCAAACATGTTTACTCAAGAATTACCCCCATAACACATAACAAATAACATGTTATTCAAGAATTACCCTCCTAACACACATACCAAATAACATGTTATTCAAGAATTGAGTCCTTACATGCCAAATAACATCTTACTCAAGAGCTTACAGACTGCCACACAACTCTCTACTCCATACCTCCACTAACTCAGAATCCCCTGGTCTCAATAAAAAGCAGCCTGACTGACTGGGACAACATGAGACAGCGTGTCTTGCAGGGAAAAACGCGGCACACTCCCCCCCTTCAGAGGACCAGAAGCCATGTCATTAATAATACTATACATGAACACTTTCAGTGTAAAAATAAACAATACATACATTATAGTACAATTAGCAAAACATATTTTCCCTAAATTTATTAAAAAAGCAACCTGTTAAAACATTTTCAGTAAATAGACTTCTTAGTCATGAATCTAAACAACCTTAGCTGAAAAAAACAATTGAGCAGTAAATATATCTTCAGCTCTGCAAGCTTTAAAAATCTTGAGTCATCTTTACTTGTCACAGACCAGTTTGGACAGGTAAAATAAATTGCTTTTAAAAACCATAAATATGGGCAAGGTGGTCTTGATTTCATATTCTAAACAAAAGACTCATTCTAAATATTCAACGCTTCCTTCAACACAATTAAGGGGGCAAGCTGCTTCAGCCCTGCCTATCATCAAGGCCAACTTGAGCAGTGTGGTGGTTCAACACCACAGCAGACAAATGGACACTCGATACAATACCTTACCTACTCAGGAATTGAATCTACATCTCCTGTGTGCAAAGGTCAAGAGCTTAACCAATACACCAGCAAACTTTGCTACCAATTGCTACCCCAGCACTTACAAAGTTCTATCTGCCCAGCACCTAGTTTTGAGAAATTTGGTGTACAAAACTCTGAGTCTTACAACTTTACAACATGTCAAGCTTTTTCGAATGCAATTCTTTAAATGTGCAGATAACAACTCGGAACGATCTTATGATTTTGATAGAGCAAACAGAACATTTGGTATCTGACCTCATGGTCTTAGTAACTCAAAATTATGACCAAAAATGTCAGATAGAACTTTGTAATAATTCTGAGGTAGTGACTGGTCTACATACATGGAAAAATTTAATATACATACAGAAATCTACAACGAACTCGAGATTCACGAGCTGGGTTCCCTCGACTTCATCTCCTCCACGAGAACGCCAAACAAGGAGTTGAGGGTCTGGTGCATCTCAAACAGCTCCCGGTTGTTCATCTCCTTCAGGCCCAGGCTGTCCTTGTGCTCCGCCAGCTCCTTCAGGTGAGCCAGGGCATTGCCCTCGTCCATGTCAAACACCAGCATCTTCCGCGGAGACGACCGGCTCGCTTCAGCGTCTTTTACGAGAAGATATTCGAGAAGAAAATTTCTTTCTATAAAATATATATTGGTGTGGTAATGTTCCTTTTTACAAATTAAGAAATCGTGTGAACCACTTGAAGCACCAGTCACAAAAAAGAAAAAAAAAATTCTTCACAGAAGTAAATTTGTGCTCCCTCAGTGTCAGCAAAACTAACAAAAACTCTATACACAAATCACTAAAATGAGATCTATTTTTTATGTGCTCAACATATGAAAAAGATGAAAAGAAAGAATAAAAAAAAAATTTTTTAAAACCCTCATTAAAAATAAAAACAAAAGCAAACCGAATTGATGGCTGCATGCAAAAATTCAACAAATACCATTGAGCAACCTGGCATTTATCCGAGTTTTGCACCTAGCCGATGACATGTGAACCTATAAATATCTTCCCTCCACAAAGCGTTTGATTTATAAATAAAATTTCAGTCCACAAAGGGGAAATTGTATTATTAGCATATAAATTTAAAGTTGGTTTCAGCAAACCCACAAAAGAGATGAAAAGAGAATAAAATAACATCCCATGTGTGTGAAACAGCTTTCGAATTTATCAAAAATAAAACTAACATATATGTATACACTCACAAACCGGTAACAATGCTTCAAGAGGTTCACACTTGGACTCCTAAAATTACACAGGGCCTTTAATTTTCAATAGAAACCCCTACCAGAGAGAGAGAGAGAGAGAGAGAGAGAGAGAGAGAGAGAGAGAGAGAGAGACAGACAGACAGACAGACAATTCAGTCAGCATTAATTTGCCTAAGTAAATCATCTGTAACATAGTCATTTACTGTTCATGAATATCAATTATTATCAATTATGTCTCATCTTCCACATGAAGATCAGGACAACACAAACGTTACTTTGGGGGACCAGTGCCCTTTACTCTTCTCAGACCACCAGATTTCTTTCCTCCACCCGATCCCTTGAACAAATGGACACATATCACACAAAAAGTACATTTTAAAAATAACTACAGTAAAACCCTGATAACAAAAATTCCCTGAACCAGAGAAATTTCTTTGTATCAAGAAGATTTTGTGCTAAGGGAAGTTGCAATGCGTAGAAAAAAAAAGAGGTGGGGGGAAAAAATGGGGATTTGAAATCTTTTAATCAGACCGAAGGGCTAGAACCCAAACGGCCGCTGGATCAGAAAAGTAAAGTAAATCTTTTAATGTTAACCAAAATTTCAGGTTGCATAAAGTCTACAGTACTCACCTTTGATGGGGGAAATTGACTCCAATGCGGCATCATCACCTGGCCGTACTTTAATGCCTTCATCAGCAATGCTAGATGGCGTGACAACTGAAACAGACATAAAAATATATCTTTATCTTAATGAGTTCTCAAAAACAAACCATTTATGAACAAAGCATACAGACTCACTCACTGGTTCATTGTAATCCTTTTATGAGAACCTAACTATGAAAACAGATGCCTATAATAATGATAATAATAAAAATAATATAAACAACCACTACTACTACTAATAATAATACATAAACAACCACTTCCAACCTTGCACTCTCTTATACATACCCCTGTCTAAGATAACTCTTCTCGTTGACAAAGGGTGGCTGTCTCGGACAAATTCAACTGAGCTTAACTCTTACAAACTTAGGCCTTTTCCTTGTTTTGTCACAGCAAGTTTTAATTTAAAAAGAACAGTTGTTGGCATATTCACCCTAAAAATATAAGTTTCAAGCTACAAGCTGGTACAGCCAACCAACCAATACGTTCAGAAAACAGTTTTTTAAAGTTTTAGTAAGAATTCTATGACACTTGCAACACAAATAGGTCATATAAGTGCCGAGGGTTAGAGGTGTTACAAAAGAGTAACGAACACAAAAAAAGGAGAGATAAGTTCTAGTTTTAGTAAGAGTTTTACGGCACTTTCAACACAATAAGGTCATATAAGAGCCAAAGATTAGAGATGTTACAAGAGAGTAACAAACACAAAACAAGAAGGAGAGATAAGGACGATAGATGTTTGATAGGAAAGAAGAAGCAAACCACACCAGAGCACCCGCTGGAGGAGAGATAAGGACGATAGATATTTGACAGAAAAGAAAGAAGAAACCACACCAGAAGTACCACTTGCACCCACCTGCAGTTAAACATTCAACATCCCAACCTGGAATAATTTGAGCGACACCCAACATAATGTCAGAAAAATATGTTCCACCTACCTTCCCCGATTGTGGCCCCTTTAGCAAGAGTTCTGTCTGGGGAACCGCTGTCAACTTCTACAACAGGCGCCTTTTGGAGGCCGTGCTGGGCCATGAAGCCAGACAGCACCATCCGCACCGTCTCAACCTTGGGGTTCCGGATGGGCAGCTGGTTCACCTGAACCTCAGTCAGGGCACACAGGTCACCGATAGTGTTCAGGTTCCGGCCTTTCATCATCTGGCACAGGCCTCTATACCTGAAATTACACAATTTGAAATATTATAAGAGATAACCTATAAGAAGAATTTCAGCAAACTAAGCAGAACAGGTGAGAATACCACATTTATCTACACAACTTTCTTAAACAGTCAAACATTGATTTTCATTAAGCTGTTCTCAAAAGGTGAGCATAAGAGCTTCTTCACCAACTCCCCCCTCCCCTCCATCTATGGCAAAAAACACAAATGTTAAACTGGGATTCAAGCAAGCTTTTCCAATTAAAGAAAGACTAAATAAACCTATAGATTAGTAACTAAACAACACTATAAGACAAAAGCCGCACAGTAAACATCCAAAATATAAAATTGGCGTTGGTGGCCTAGTGGTTAGGCTCTCCGACTCGCAACCGTAAGGTCGTGGGTTCGAATCCCGTCAGGGGCCCGACGTTGCGTCCTTGGGAAAGGCACTCTACACAAATTTTCCTCACTTCACCCTGGTGGGAATGGGTACCCAGCTATAGACAGTGAAAGATCTTGTCAGTTTGTTAGTGTTTAAGCGCTTAATCAGCTGCTAGCACTGTATGCTTCCCGGGAAGCTGAGAATGTTTCGGAGTGTTCTATGGTCTGCTGGGGTAATAATATAGTGTAAAGCGCATAGAGCCTGCTGTTGAGTGGGGATATGCGCTATACAAATGCTATTTATTATAAGAAAAACAAACAAACAAACCATAAAGATGAAGTCAACTGAGGCAGAATGTTGTCAAGATCTTTCTGGCAGTCCACCAGGTCAGGGAAGATGGGTTTTGTGGAGTCGAGCTGTGACTCTAGGGTGGCTCTGTATGATGATTGAGACAGTGGGGAAGGGGTGGCTCTGTACGGAGACTGCGACAGAGGAGACCCACTGGGGCTCTGATTGTAGCGGGAAAGCCGGGCCAAGCTGGGATCCTGAGGTAGAAAAAAGAAACGGGTTTCATTCACTGATTTTCATCACACATCCATCTCTCTTCATTTACAAAATCGTGTGTTTACATTAGAGTTGCAACAAGAAGAACCATAAGTATTTTTTAGGTTATTTTAATGTTTTTGTTTTTAAAAAAATTTATTTCCTCTTTTCAAAATTGAGAAATGATAAAACTGAACAAAAAACAATGAACATTTACAATGTCCACTACTGACATCTCTAAAATCCATCTCTTGACAAAATAGGTTTTTTAAATATAGATCTTACTTTCTTTTCTTTTATCAAAACTACGATTGAGCTGTCAATGAAGATTAATGAACATTAACAAAACTTTTTCAAATTCTGTTACGGAAAGAAAGATTTCTAATTCTTCATGAGATCACAGTACATGCTCTCTTGTTTCAATTCAATTTTTTTTTAAATACAGAGGTGACATATTAGGGACATTGACTATATTCGTCCACAAAAGGACTTTGCTTACCTTTCTCAAAGATGACTCTAATCTGCGTTTGTAGCCAGAGAGACGCCCCAGATTCTGAAATACATTTCGTAATAAGATGATGGACAATAGAATTTGTGTAATGTCAATGTGGACAAATTTTTCCGTTTAAAAATGGAGGGTACTTCACAACACAATAAGGTCATATAAGTGCCGAAGAATAGATGTGTTACAAGAGATTAACATACACCAAAAGGAGAGATAATATGTACAATATAGGTTTGATAGGAAAGAAGGAGCGAACAACCCACAATCAAAGGCTGATCTATTTTTTTAAAAGAAAAGCAAAACAATGAAAGACATAGATCAGAGGACATGAAACAATGATAGAAACAAGGTAAAAAAGCAACAGGCAGAGTCCCTGTTCTCTGTGCAAAATTCGACTCTGGAAGACACGTGAAACTTTTATATGAAGCATAAACATAAAACGCAATAAAATCAAGGGGCAGATAATGACAGTCATTCTATTTAGTCTTTTGATTAGATGTATGCCCCAATAACATAAATTGGAGCTGAACTAGCCATTTGGAAGGAAGATAGAGATTCTAGTTCACTGACAATGTTAATTAAAATTATCTACAGTAAAATTATATTATAGCCAGTTCGGCTCACAACTTTCAATGTAATTTGAGGGTGGCCCCCTGAGTGATTGAGTTTGTCACCCCTAGTCAATATTATACCGAAAGAAGAAATAATTTTACATTAGTGCCAAAACTAGTCACCGAACACAAAAATTATCACAAAAGTTAAAATACTTTCTTTCCCAATAATTTACAAATTCTACGAAAATCTCAAAATAATGCTTATTCTCCCATAACTTGTTCATAGTAGTAGCAGTAAACCAACAAAGAAATTGAATCCTCACCTTCCTCATTATGAATGACCTTCTTCCAGGGCTGTCGCATGGGGTTAAGGGAGAAGACTGCGCCGATTCACTCTGGTACTTTTCTCTCACTGGACTCTTTCCACTGACCACCGGATCGGCAAAGGACACTCTTCGAGACTGCAAGCATAATTTTAACAAATACACAGTCAACATTAATAAGCTCGATTTAATAAGTAATACAGGGTCAGGGTCAACCACAAACAGCGATTGCTTTACCTTGATAAATCAATGGGAAATCAAAACGTAGGGCAAAATGTACTCCTCTCATCAATATAATAAGATATTAGATCAAGGTATGCCACAACTTAAAAAATATTGATAATTTTGAAATACACAGCACTAAAAAAATCAGCTCGTGCAGACAAGTGCATTAATCAAACATCAAAATATATTCTGAAAATGCAGATGCTGTGCATTTACCTTTAAGTTCAGGCTTTAGGTCAGTATACTCATTACCAGTAACAAAAATTTTAATTGAAAAGATGTGACTTGTCGAATAAAGAGAAGCACTTTGGGCATGGAAAAGTAAGACAGACAGACACAACAGAAGGAAAGAAAAAAGTACAAAACAGATGCACTCCAACCACCCATACACAGTCTTCCAAGTGATCTATAAACTATCAAAATATTGAAACTAAATGCATTAAAGAAAAAAAAGGCAACAATGAACTTACTTTGCTAGAAGGTGGCGTTCCCTGGTCAAACTTCTTCAGAATGCTACTGCTGGGAGACTTTGAGGGAGACCAGTCGTGGAGCAGAACTCGCTCAGTGTCCGGAGTTCCTGCAGCAGCACTGGCAGCTTCACCTGTAACTTCATTACTTTGTTGCTCCTCCGCTTCAACCGAGACTGCTTCATCAACCTTTTCGGATTCCTTTTTGCTCGAGTCATTGCAGCAGGAAGCCTCCGCTTCGGACTCAGTGTCCATTTTGGCATCTGCAGATTTTGTAGAAGCGTTTTCTTTGTCAGAATTATCTGCTTCAGAGTTATCGGTTGTACTTGCTTCAGGGTTTGACTTAGCATCATTTTGATTCACAACATCTTGGGGCATATCGGCATCCTCGCCCTGGTGAAGTTTTTTATCTTCTTCACTAACATCTGTCTCAACATGATCTATGCTGTCAGATGAAGGAATACTTTTCTCTTCATGCATTTCTTCACTTTCAGGAATGCTTGTGGCATCCACTGCTGACTTATCTGCAATCACGGGACTTAAAGGTTCAGACATTTCAGCAATGTCAGATTGTGCATCAACTCTCAGTGGTTCTGAGTGAGATTCGTCCTCTGTGTCATTAACTCTATTGCTGGATGCTGGTTCTTCAGCAATGTCCTCCAAGCCACTGGGCTCACAGTTCTTGCTCGTGGGTTCACCCTCTCCGGAACTTTCACTCTCTAGAGACAACATCTGCTGCCCAGGCTGGATGTGATCTTGCGAATCAGCATACGAGTGGTCCATGAAAGGAGAGGGAGGATTACATTCACTCTCCGTATCCACAACCTGATTGTCATCAATCTTTTGCTCTTCTTCCTGCCTTGTAATCACCTCTGTAATCTCCGACAGCCCAGTTTCTTCCATGTCATCTGTTACCGGCTCAATAGAGGGCGCAACGACTTCATCAACAGAATCTGTGACCTCATCGACATCACACTGTTTGACAGTTTTGAGAGAAATCTGGGATAAAGGAACATTATCTTCATCTTCATCCGACTCTTCAGCTGCCACTTTTTCTATCGTCTTCCTCATTTTGATTCCTCCTTTATTTCTCTGTTTTGGTTCAGAAATCTTCCTCGACTTTAGAGGAGGTGCAGAAGAACTAGGGGATAGTTTTCTTCCAATCTTTCCTCGTGTTCTGAGCATATGTCTCGGCTGGCCAGTCCGTTGTCGTGGAGAAATAATTCTCTTCTTATTTCCTGTTGCAGACGGCCCTGACAGCTTCCTTTTCTTTATCTCCAGATCGGCATATTCATCCACAATCGCATTCTTGATGGGCGAGACCTTGTCTCCCTTTTTCAAAGAGCTGCTGAAATCTAGCGACGTCTTTTTAGGATCTTTCTGTTTTGATTTAACTTCTTGAGAGGTAACAGCACAGCTTCGAGATCTCTTCACAGAGCTATGCCGCCTCGATGGGGTGAAATTGGAAGGAGATTTCATGTCTGGGGTGACCTCCCCCACCACCTCAGGAGACAATTCAATTGGCTTTAAGTGCGTCATTTCGCCATCTGGTCCTTCTTTGGAATTTGTGACATCAGATCGCTTTTCGCTGCTGTTCTCCGACTGATGGCCAGATTTACTCTTTTCTTCTTCGGTGGACGAAGGCTGATGTTTGCTGGGGGTGTGAGACACGTCATCAGCTTCCTCTTGGACAGTTGAGGTCACTGGCTTCCTGTCCTTGTGTTTGCAGCGTCTAGGAGAAGATGCACAGCACGGGCATTTTTTCTCAACCAGCTTGTTCCTTGTAGCACGCCTCGGACGTTTCATAGGAGAGTATTTTTTCGGCACCGCCTTCTTTCTCCTATTGGGTAGGGCAGCTTTTTCACTTTCATCTTCAATGGTAGGTACCACAGGGTTAAAGTCTGACTCTGAACTGGAGGGCACTCTATCTACTGTTTCTCCTGACTTGTTTGACTCCTTCCCACTTTCCTCAGATGAAGACTTTGGGCTTTGAGATCCAAAATCTTTCCCATCACTGTGAAGCTGAGAAGCAAGAGTTGGCATCATTTCTAGCGAGAACTTCTGCACTTCCTCCCCAGTACATGGAAACAAGCTTTCACTCTCTGTAGCCGAATTAATTTGCTTGCTACCACCAGGAGCAGCATCAGCCTTCTCAGGAACTTTTTCAGAATCCTCCTCCTCCTCAGGTAGTGAAAAGCCAAAGGCGGTGAGACGATCTTGTTCCTTCTGATTTTTCGTTTCTTTCAGGCTTGTTTCAAACCCCTGTGAGGATGTCACTTCAGGATCAGCATCGGATGAGGGCGGTTTCCCACTACTTCCAACTTCCGCTTCCCCAACTGTCTTATCATCCTCCCCTGAGACTTTGTCCACAAAAAGTTTGCGCACACTTCTTAATACAGGGGGCGAAGTGTCGCTTTTCGTAGGAGTCTCAGCGATTGATTTGTCTTGCTCTCTGGCTATTTGCCTTTTGGCCGACAATTTAAACGGAGACTGTGTGTCCTCAACCAGGGTGTGCGTCTCCTCGGTCTCTTCATCAGGGGGCGTGTCGCTCTCAACAACCAGGGCAAAGCTGGGACTATTCACAGCGCCTGCCCCAGAAGTTTTGCCGTCACTGCTCTTTGTCGGGTTTCCTTTCACAATCCACTGATCCAAATTAGAGGCTGGACTAGATTTCTCTTGTTTTGTTGGCAACTTCTCTGTTCCATCCTTCGCCTGCTCATTCTGGTGGTCACTGATTTTCTTCAGAGGAACTCTTCTTGGTGCCTTCTTGTTTGTCTCGTTTTCCTGTTTGGCTGACTGTGAACCAGTCATGTCGTTCTGACTGTGAACTTTGCGTAAAGAAACCCGCCTAAGCTCTGGTTTTCCAGAATCTTGACTTAGACTAATCGATTTCGACTCTGGACTTTCCTTGTTTCTAAACATAACAAAAGGAGCATCATTGTTTATGCTACTGTCAGAAACATCAGTTTGATTTGCTGATTTTTCTGACACAACATTCTTCGATAAATCTTCATCAGTTTCAATGGAAGATTTCACGACGTCTTCCTCTGAAAAGTTTTCAGCTCTGACATCAACCTCATCCTGTGTTTTGTTCACAGCACTGACTTGCTTCTCTAAATAGGTCGTTACAACTTTCGTTTTTGCCTCTGAAGCACTCCCATGCTTTTCATTTGATTTCTCAGACAAGTCCCCTTCTGAAGGCTCAGAAACACTTTGAAGCTCTTGGATGCGAACAGACTTGCGCCTCCTCGTTGCCATGGGCACGGTGAAACCACTCAGTTCACTTTTCTCACTCATGTCGAGGTCATTCTGAGAAAGAAAAAAAAAATATTCCTTCTCAAAAGGAGATCCACACAACAAGCATAGGGATAATTATTAAAAGGAAAGACCAAAGGACAAAACACTGTTTATTATTTAGGTTCTCAAAGAACAATGTGAAAAGTTAAAAGAAAAGAACCCTGAGGAAGGGAGAGTAAAGTAATTCACTTGTAAAGTGAACAGATAAACATCATTTGACACATTTTCAAAAAATTCAAAAAAATTTGTAAAGCAAACAAGACAATTCTCTTTTTTCATTATATTATTTTTAAATGCTTCCAAAATTCCTATTCAAAATTAAAATTATCAACTGGTGAGATATTCTTGAACAAACAAGCACAGATGAGTAAGCACAAAATGAGATCAGCCACAAGATTTAAAAAACAATCAAATGCTTTTCATACATTGCCCACACAACCTTAGAGAAACTGTTAATTCTCTTACCTTGCTGTTCTTGTCTTTATCCTGAGTATCCCCTGAACTCACGACTATGACACTTTGAGATGACTGGCTACTACACAGGATCAAGGGAAGAAGAATGAGAGAACATGAAAATAAGCTTTAAAAATATGTCTCTAGAATAGATGAAAAAACAAGCATGTGATAATTGTAAACATCCAGAAATTTGCAATATCAGCAATATTTTGTTTATTACATTTGGAAAGAGTAGTAGTGGTTAAAGTACACGTGAGGCTTTATTTTACCTACTGAAGATAAGAACAAAAAATATATGTGCTACACTGGTCTGAAGGATCAGTTCTTACTGTGGCTGCTTTTTCCTACACAATTTCAACTCTATAAATACAAAATGAACAACTAAAGTGCTTTTAAATATCAGCATCCCTCCCTCTAACAACAAAGAAAACTTGTTCATCTTAGTTGGGAAAAGATATTTGTGAAACAGCCAAAATTTAAAAAATGCTGCTTGTTAATGAAGACTACCTTTGTTGTGTGTTGTCCCCTGCGAACTGCGACATCAAGGACACGTCTTGAGACAACTCCAGGTTGTTATACATGGCAGGCAAGATTCTGGACAAAGAGAATAGAAGGAAAAAATGATTGAAGTACAGAAGTAATAAAACAACAAAATTCTTACCATGAAAAAAAAATATATGGGGAAAATTACCACCCAAAAAAATATTCCTCTTACCTTCATCAGGTAGACTATCATTAGTTATTCAAGACAAAGGAACATCTTAACTACAATAACACTTGGGAACCACCATCACATGAAAGTAATCAAATACACTTTAAAAAATGTTCATGGACACATCAAGTTGCTTGTCACCTTTCAGGTATAAATAAACTTGAATCCATCTCCTTCAAGTCAAATGCAAAAGTAGCATACAAGTCAGGCCAAAGTTATTCCTTTAGGAATATTTATCTTGATTTTGTTCTGTTTTGTAACCAGAATCTTTTCTTTTCATATTCCACACTTTAAAAAGAATAAATCAATGATGTCTTCGCAAATACATACCGCTTTTCTTTCATGACTTCCTTCTGATGCTCTGTCAGAACCATCTTTTTCCGTGTAGCAGGCGAGTTGATCACAACAAACTCCTGAAAGTGATTGTTTTGAAACCTTTATCAAAAGTCTCGTAACACAACATAATGATCACAACCATCACAAAATATGCAGTCTACTTACTTAACAAAAAGAAAAATAACTTGGAATTAACCAGAAGAAGAAACATCCTGAAGTATCCTAAATATTTTCAAAACCTTTAAACAAAAATTGGGCATAACATATGGGTAAAGATGTAGTAGAGGACTCTTGTTTAGTTTAGTATGGGGTTTTACGGCGCTTGCAACTGCATAAGGTTATATGAGCACTTGTTTAGAAATTTCATTGTACTTGACATGTTACGCCCCTTTCGGGCAAGCATCAGGTAGCCACGAGACCACACAAGACAATCTTAACATTTTATGAATGGCGACAACTAAACCTTTATATTTCAAAGAAGCACAAAAACAATTACACCTCTCATACCACTGAATATCATGAAAACTTGCAAACAGCACAAGAAACATTGACATTAAAACTGCACCTCTTCTTTCATGGAATCGACAGCCATTCTGCTCCACATGGATGAAAAGAGTTTCTTAGCATCCTTCGGGGAAATTGCTTTTGCTGGTGACTTTGCAGACGGGGACGTCTTTCGACTCGGAGACAGGTCTCGGTGGAGCATGCTGCCTCTCTGTCTCTTCGGTGATGGCATTCCTGGCAGACACGGGGGTGGGGCTTGCTGGGACTCCCCCTGTTCCAAAAAGTAGTTTTAGTAAGTTTTACGGCATTTGTAACACAATAAGGTCATATAAGTGCCAAGATTAGAGGTGTTACAAGAGAGTAACAAACACAAAAAAGGAGGGGAGAGAAGACGATAGACGTTTGATAGGAAAAAAGAAGCAAACCACACCGGAGCACCCACCAACCACCCACTCAAAAAGTATGAAGTATGGTATTTGATTGAAGTGTCAACTGTGTAAAGAAATATCTGGAATGACAACCATTTGCCTTCCCCAAATGGTGCAGAATTTTCAGGTATAACTGGTACACATCTGATAAACACAGCAGACCCCTACCCAAATCATACAATAACTGTCAACTAATTTATAAATATCTACACCCAGACACTTATTGATTGTAAAAATGTTTAGAGTCCTGCACCAACACAATTTAGACTGTGTAAAGAGGGGGCAGGGATACCACTGATATTTTGAGATAATAAACTGAAAATGTGCAAGGTTGCATTTGCCAACAGAATAACAGCTGATACACAACTAACATGGGGTTAAACAGAAAACAAATGCTGAGAATAACAATACCTTCTTTTATGAAATCATAGAGAGAAAAAAAAAACGAAATAAGACCAAACAAACAAACAAAAAAAGGAACAAACAGCATCCAGACATTTTGACCCTGCCAATCACCATCAACATAAACTGAGCAGGATGCAGAACCCCGCAAGAAAGAGAGATACTTAATACAGTGTGGGAACAAAACTGTATTCTCTGTGCTATGCATACCTGCCAACATTGCCTGGACCAAAATCTGTAGTTGGACGCAAATTTTTTTCCAAAAATCTGTAGTTGACCTAAAAAATCTGTAGTAG